GGGGTGGGGGGGAGGGGAAGTGAGGCTCTCTGCCCCTATAAAGATTTGCAGTCTCAGAAAGTCTGGACAGGGTCGCTATGGATTGGAAATTGACTCCACTTCCTGGGGTTTGGTTTTTAGTGGGCCCTCAGAGGATGAGCGAGCCCATGACAGGGGTCCCCTGTGACCCCTGGGGAGGTGTTTAACAGGTGAAGTCAATTGTGAGTGGCTCTGTGAGGGAATGGAGTCCCAACCCTGGGCACTTGTCCTGTCCCGGGGACAACCGGGAGATTTGCTGCCTCCTCTCACCTGCCGGGAGCTCCAGCTCAGGGTCCCACCTCGCTGGACGGATGCCGTCAGTAATGGGGACAAAAGGAGTGTCCACCCCTAGACTCACTGTGGCTATTGGAGAGAGAGGGTCAAGCAAAGGCGGGGCAGGACACCCCAGCTACAGTACGGATCATGGCAGCGATCACACACACACACACACACACACACACCGCCTCTTCTCCCTCCAGAAACCTGAAGGTGATCATGGGCAACTTCAGGATCCGCGTCAGGGACGGGACGGAGCAGTCGGTCAACCCCGTGCAGATCGTGCGCTACTGGAATTACAATCAGAGCAACCCGCAGGACGACATCATGCTGATCCGGCTGGCCAAGCCGGCTGTGTTCAATCAGAAGGTGCAGCCCCTGGCCCTGGCCACCAGTAACGTGAAGCCCGGCACCATGTGTCTGCTCTCGGGGCTGGACTGGAGTCAGGACAACAATGGTGAGGGGCTGCCACGCACGGGTCCTAACTAGCAGAAGCCACCCCGCATGGAGCTGCCCCCCACATGCAGCTCCTGAGAGCGGGAACCCACCCCTCTGCCTCCCCCAACCACAGCCACTTCCCCGTGGCCTCTTCCTTGTCTTCGCACACAGAGAAGACCCACAAGACCCGGGTGGCAAGGCCGGGCAGTGGCGGGCGTGGGGTGGCCGAGCAGGGCAGGGGAGGGCTCCAGGAATGCGTGAGCAGCTGGCTCCCTGGCCCCGGTCCTGCAGGCAGGCACCCCGACCTGCGGCAGAACCTGGAGGCCCCGGTGATGACGGACACGGAGTGCCAGAAGACGGAGCAAGGGCGCAGCCACCGGAACTCGCTGTGCATCAAGTTCGTGAAAGTCTTCGCCCGCGTTTTCGGGGTAACCCTTGCTCTGTACTCAGCTCCCGGGCTCACTGACCAGGGGGAGACCAGACTGGAGCACACAGGAAGCCCTGACCCTCCGCCACCTGAGGTCCCCAGGTGACAGCTCACTCGCTGCTGGTGGGGCAGGCACTCCCCAGTGTGTTCCCACGCAGGGTGACCCATGGGCCTGAGCCCTCGGCCTCCTCGCAGTGGCCCGCGATATTGGTCAGTCACACTTTGCAGGGCCTGACGCAGACCGTGCCAGCTGGGAGCAGTGGGGTGTGGTTTCTGGGGTCTCTAGCTCTGACCGTGTATCCTAGTGGTTACCTGCTGGGCCTCAACACATAGTTGGCAGCTCAAAACCACCAGCTGCTCAGAAAGAGAAAGATGAAGCTCTCTAGTCCTGTAAAGAGTTACAGCCTCAATGGATGTACAGAATGGTATAAGAACTATAAGAGCCCCAATAAAATGATTTTTTTAAAGAAAAGAAAATGACAGTGGATTAAAACATAACCAGGTTGTAACTCAAAAATTAATTAATTATTTTTTAAATCGTTTTATCAGGGGCTCATACGACTCTTATCACCATACATACATCAATTGTGTAAAGCACATTTGTACATTCATTGCCCTCGTCATTCTCAAAACATTTGCTCTCCACTTAAGCCCCCGGCATCAG